TTTTAGCATCCGATCTCGGTCGAATTTTAATTACCTTCTCATTTTAGTATTTTCGTGAGATTATATGTGGTACTATTATTATTTTTTAATTTTTTGAAAGTAAATATATTTTAGTTTGATGGTTGTAAATGCAGAAAATTTACATTTGTTTTGTTTAACATTTGATATTTGTTTATATTTTCTACGTAGTTGTTTTTTCATATGTTGTTTAATTAATACATTTTATGAGTCTCTACTAATTTAAAAGGTGGTATAATTTAAAAGGTGAGATTATATGTGTAATACCTTTTATATATTTTTTTAATTTAAGTGTGTATGCCTAACAAGTTTCCTATTCATATTAAAACTTTCAAATGTTCACCAAGTGACAACCAAAAAGCGGCAGAATATATGAAATTAGATGGTGGACTTACTGTCCTAACCGTTATTTGAAAACATAGAGTGAGTGAAATAAGAAAAAGCGTTGGTGAAAACGTAGGCTTAGTTCCTTACTAATTCAGGAGTCTATGCATTTCTAGCCTTCTTGGATGGATTCCCTTCTGGTGACACATGGGCCACATCATCAACATTCTCAGTTATAGATTCCTCCTCCTCAATGTTTGGTATTGTTTCCTCAGCATCAGATGGTCTTTCGGCTCATCTCCATCTTCTGTGAGATTACCACCAGTAGGAGTCACCAACATTGAATTTGCAAGAAGCAATTTTCTCCATGCATATCATCATCAGGGTTGTTGCCCCCACCCTTTTGAGAAACAAAAGAAACTATAAGTCATTTTCTGTATAAGGAGACTTAAGGAGAGATCATTCGTGTTGACTTACACGAGGTGGAAAGGTAGGCCCTGGGATTCTCTTAATTGGGGTCGAAGATCCAGGCAATGATGAAGGACTTATGGCTAACCGAGAAATTGAATTACTGAGCTTGATATTGAATATATATGTATTCCCAACAATTTTCTCAAGGAATTGAGGGAGTTGACAGCTTCTTGAGTCTTGTTCACCGTGTTCGTGAATGTGTTCAAAACATGTATTAGTAAATTCAAATTAAATAACATGGCACAAACCATAGGATTCGTAACTTCTGCATCCCTGACACCTATCAGCTTAGTCATAGATGAATCAAATGCAACAAACATAGCATTATCTTCACTCGCCTCCACCAGCATCTCAACACAGTACCTTATAAATCATTTATGTTCCCATTCCAAAATTTTGGTAAGTGCAAATAATAGAAGTCTCTATGTTAATATGGATGATTAAGAAACATGAGTAAAGAAAACTTGATAACTCCAATAGCACTTGCATTAAAACATGTCTGTAGGTGAAAGATGAAATGTTTTTTTTTTTAGTTTTCTAGCACTTAAACATGTGAATGTCTAAATGTAATCCAAAAACGGCTAACCTCCTACAAATTTGGTGGGTTAATGTTGGTTGCTAATTGCTACCATCACTTTAGGGTGGACAACACCTTGTGGAAGAGTTCAGCAAGAATGTCGGGTATGAGATGTCTGGAAATTAAACTTATGAACATAGACGCAGTAAAGATGATTAAAAGACCTGGCAGCTCTTACCTTGGTATTAGCTAACAACATGAGTTTCTCAACATTTCAGAACCTAAACATCTCAGTAGGGAATGGTTTAGCAAAAGCAGGCACTTCAACCATCTTCGTAAACACGTTTACACGGATGGCGACGATGGAATTTCAAAGCTTGAAATAATTGTTGCTTCTCGTCACATCGAAGCCACTAAGCTAGTACATATCTCCCTCCCTAAGTAGTTATCGTAATGTGTCAAAGCGATGGGCAGATGCTTGGTTGAGAGAGGTCTGTAGAAAAAGGAGATTTTTAATAAAAAATAAGGCACTGCAAACATATACGACATTACAACAAAACGAAAGACATTGACTCATAACAATAACACTCATGTAAGGGAGTAATATATACAATTGATTTTCACGTTTAGCTAAAGAAATAATTTAAAAAAAAATATATGTGTATGAAGTCGCCATCGTAGGAATCAGCTATTAAAACTAAAGATACCTAAGATTCTTGTCGCTACTATTTGAGTTGGCTATGGCTGAAAGTCGCTACTGTTTGAGTTGTCCATGGCTGAAAGGTGAGATATTTATACTCCAGGCTTCAACCGTTTCAACAGTTTACTGTGGAAGTCGAAGAAGTCGATTGAATGAATCCTAGTAAGCGGAATGAGCTAAGCAAGATAAAATCCAGAGTTAAGAAGGAATTAATGAGACAAAGACGTTACAGATTTCGGATGGATGCTTTATGATCTGCCAGTTTGGTCGGCTGAGTGAGAAAGACTCATGCGCTAGGAGGAAGAAGAACCCTAATACACTGGTGGGCTTTACAAAATCTCTCTAAAAGCCCATTCACAAAATTAATAGCCCAGACCCGTTAACGCACAAAATAATTGAGAGGCGAGTTGTTTTGGATGGCTGACGTGTCATTTTTTGCCCCCTCTCTTGGGTGATGTGGACATGCTAAGAAGGGAGAAAAGTCAAATTTATTGTATAAGATACCTTGGGTCCCTTGGTATTGCTTCTTCTTTTCCATATTCCGTGTTTAGATTTTTGTTCTTCTTCTGCTACTCATGATGTTTTGTATACTTCCTGTCAAAAATTTTAACTTTGGTAATAAATTTAACATATACACCAAAATTTCTTTTTTTTTTTAAACAACTGAAACTCAACAAGCTCATGATGTTTACCAGAAAAATTGAAATTCACAATATTTGCTTGTTAAAATAAATTTGTTAATATAATATCATATCCGTTATTCTCTTCTTTTCTTATATATCTTCATTTTATCATCATTCATTCAATAAAAGTCCAAAATATTATTTTGTAGTGCTTGGCCATTACATAAATAATCATTATTTTATTGAAATAATTAAACGTATAAAACTGTTTACACTTAATTAAGGTAGATAAAGATGTATGAACATGGATTAGAGAAAAAACATGTAACGGAAATTTTTTGCAGTTTGATTTTTCATGTTCTTTTAACCTTGGATTTTTCATGTTTAGGCCCTTTAAGGCTACTTCGAAATTTTGTGTAACGGAATGTATGATTAGTTTTTAGTGAGATAAAAACAAGAAAAAACGATTAATACCATTTCCAAAATTTTGATGAAGTGAATATATATTGAAAATTCCAAAAACAAAAACGGTAACTAAATTTGGCTCAAAGTCTTTCAGTACTTTCTTTTTTGAAAACTCAGTCAAAATGTACAAATATCCATTTTGTGTATATCTAATTCACAATAACAATCTTTAAAAAAAATCATTTATGTTTCTGTTAATTACTTAAATACTTTCCATGAAACCTTTGCAGGCATTATTTTGTTCATTACTTATGTATTTCTATTTTTTTGTAAGCTTACTACTTATGTATTTCATCTAACTACATTTAAGCATAACTAAAACAAACAATCATAAAAAAATTTTATTCTTTATTTTTTCGCTTATTTGATGACAAAATATTTAATGAGTTGAATAGTTATGATATCTCGAGTCAATCCAAATCACCACCGTCCTTTATATAACCAATCAGTGTCATCAAACTAAGAAAATAACGTACAAAAATTATCCAAACGTAAATCCATCATTTTTATTAGAAACAACTCCATCGTATATCATTTTTGGAAAAAAGAAATACTTTATTTGGTTAAGAAATTACCACTCACTAATAGGGCTACAGCAAGAGAGAACAAGGATTTCCTGATTATTTGAGTTGTGCAATTGGCATAGGAAAATCCATATCAATTGGTTTTAAATCTAATAATCAGAAAATAAAACTGGAAGAAACAATAACAAAAGCCAAATTTTAGGGAAAAAAACAATAAAAGCCAAATCCATTCGAAGGGGTTTCTAATCCGTATCACGTAGTTTGAAAAAAAAAGTGAAACGAACGTAGACAATAATACCATATTCAACTTATTGAAGAAACGATAAATAAATTTCCTTACCTGATGACAAATACGTACAATATTCATTGTTTTGCTATTTTCTTGTATTTTCCTCTGTAATTCTACGTTTTATTCCCCATTAAATTATGAATGATGCACACCGAAGGGTAGTTAAAGGGGCTTATATATAACGTGAGAGTAGCTTTGTTATTCTCATTTAACCTAGATCAGCCCTGAACTCTCTCTATATATAAATCTCTCTAACTATAATCATCATATCGCCAATATCATCATGTCCTCCTCAAACAAAAATTGGCCTAGCATGTTCAAATCCAAACCCTGCAACAATCATCATCATCATCCTCATCATGACATGGATACTCCATCTTGCAAGCAGTACTCTAATTGCAACATATCTTCTTCTTTTTCCTCAGGTTATTTATATATATTTTTTTTCATGTATTATATCACGTATCACAATAGAAACAAGCTATATATATATATATATATATATATATATATATATATATATATATATATATATATCTATCTGTTAAGACATGCATGCATGATGATTTGTAAATGGATCTGTGAATCAGATCGTGTACCAGATCCTAAACCGAGATGGAATCCTAAACCGGAGCAGATTCAGATACTCGAATCAATTTTCAATTCGGGTATTGTTAATCCACCTAGAGAAGAGATTCAAAAAATCCGGATCCGACTTCAGGAATATGGTCAAATCGGAGACGCAAATGTTTTTTATTGGTTTCAAAACCGGAAATCACGGGCAAAACATAAGCTTCGTGTTTTAAAAAAGAACCCTAAAGTGCTCGGTTGTAACCCTAACAAGACCAGAAAGGACATAATCATTACTCCTAGTCCTAGTGATGATACTACTGATCCTTGTTTTGATTTGGTTAACCATGATCAAACCGGGTTATTTCCGGGTCAAAACAATGAGTTGGTGATAACTGAACCGGCTAGTTTTTTATATCCGAATGCTAATAATCCAAGCTTAACCCAATCAGAGTTTGGTTTTGGTGATTTTGTTGTGCCGGTGGTAAGTGAAGAGAGAATGGAGTTAGCCGGCGATAATAACGGCGTTAATATGAACATTCCGGAGATCAACTTTGACGGCGGAGAAGATGGTTATTTCCCTATTACGGGTCCTGTTACTGTTCCACTAACCATCAATCAGTCACAAGGTAATCAATCAATCATCTAACAACAATATATTATTTTTTTCAAGGCATGTTTTTTAACCCAAAAAATATGATGGATAAAATATCCTTTATAAATAATATATAGATTATTTTTTCTGACTTAACTTTAATAATATCTCTTATATATTAAAAGAGAAGCATTACAACATTTGCAACATGGTACGTGTCATCACGAGAATGAATTTTAAAATTCTTTAGAGAAATATGTTGTTCCATCTAAATATAAACTATAGTTTTCATTAAACTAATCTTAAAATTAATTATTAATGTAAAAATTTATCCTCTATTCTTTTCTTAAATGAAGCTACGGAATTACCTAATATGATTATAATATATATGACAATTAATGATTTTGAATAATAAAAATTTAATAACAATTTATATATCCTCTATCATCTTTGTGTTAATTCTTTGTTACTAAAATAAATTACACACTTACATTAATCATACAATATAATATAAATTTTTTTTCGTATATGTCGTATTTTCAATTTTTAAAATGGGTATATATTACTAAAATTGTTAAAAATCTCTCATAAACTTTTCTAATCAATGGTTTTAATTTTTTTGCTTTAATAAGATATAAATGATTATAAAAGAATATGAATTAGTTGACAAAAAACAATATGGGTAAGAAGTCTTTTTAATAGGTATATATATTTAACGTCGTTTAAATCAAACTATAAACCATATAAAATTATTGTCTGAACAAATATTGAGAATTTAATTTCTTAATTTTGATATTTGCACTGGATTTTTAAAAATGATTATAAATTACTAAAATATTTAACATTACACATTAAAAAACCTTACAATAGTTTAAATTTTGTTATAAAAATGCACATAATCATAAAATTATATGAGTATAAACCTTATTTAATAAATAATCATATTAAAATTATATTATATATCTATGTTAATATCATTTAATTTAATTATATATCATAGTTATTAAATAAAATTGATTGTTTTGATTTATATACCATAAAATGATTGTAAATAAACAAGACTGATTGTTTGATTTAAACATGAGCTAATTTAGTTATATACATAATAGTTACTGATTTTTCAATTATAAAATATAGGTTTATTACTTTATTATTTCATAATACCAAAAACATAAAATAAATATTAAATGCAAGGCGCGGATCTTAAACTAGTATAGATTATTGTTAGTATAAATATGTATACGCATATGTTTGCATAACGATATTTTATCTTGATTAATATTCGCACAAGAAAAAAACTATCCTAATTTATCTCTCGTTTTTTACCGCGTAACGCATGCATACGTGTTTTATGGAAATAGTTTTGGTCTTTTCGAGTTGACAACTTAGTTTCCAATAAAATCCCTTGGGTAAATTTCTATATTTTTCTCACACATGTATTACCCAAAATGTTTTCTATTGATCACTATGATGATGAGTAACACTCATGGATTTCATTTTTGCACGGGGAGATAATAGTATTATTCGGCGGTGGAGATGTTGGAGATTGTGTTTCTCCAGTGAGATTGATAGTGTTTATCAACGACATGCCTTTCGAAGTGACGGCTGGATTATTCAATGTCAAAGAGTCTTTTGGAAACAACGCTATCTTGATAAATTCATTTGGACAACCTATTCTCACCGACGAATTTGGAGTTACTTTGCAACCACTCCAAAATGGTGCTGTTTATTATCTTGTGAGTATATTACGATAAGCAATTTTTCCCAAAAATACGGTTTGAGTCTTTTTTAATTGCTCAATCGTTGTGTTTGATTTTGCAGCTTTAAAAATGAAGATCAGAAGAGTTATGGTCTTATGGATAAATATTTAATATAATAAGGAGACGTTTTCAATTTATTTAGTTACTTTGTGTTTTTGAGACTTAAAAAAAAAAGTTGGAACTAAGTTACAGTATTAAATGTTTGTTCCCAATGTTATCCAGTCAAAAGTATTGTGTAATTTCTTATTAGTATGCTATCATAATGTAACATATATTAAAAAAAAATTTCAACAAAAAACTATGCTAGACTAAGAAGAATCTGAGTATGGTAGCCAAAGAACAGAGTCCACATAAACCATAGTTGATGACATACCTGTAATACCGCGTGCTAGTTTGTTAGCTATAATGTTCTTTGTCCTTGGAACATGTCAAATTGTAAAGTTGAGAAAAAAATGTTTACATTGTAGAAACTCCTCCAGTGACCAGTGAGAACTATCTCTTGCAATCTGAAATTTGTAGGGTCTTCATGCACTCCATTGCCCAAATCAACGCTTCACAATCAACATATAAAGGTGAGAGGCTTCTGCGGGTTTTCATGGCACCCATCATTGATTCCGCACTTCCGTCTTTTCTACAAAACCATCCTTATCCTGTATAGTTTGACTCTTCCATCCAGGACCCATCGACAAAGCACCAGTTCCTGTCGCTGAGATCAAAATTCTCATTTGAAAAAGCAATTTCTCTCTCTGTTGAAGAGACCTTGAGTTGCGCTTCTGCCCATAATGTCCCTTTCATTTCTGCCATTTGAACAATTTCCAGAGGACTCCTTATTTTATTTTTGAAATTATTTTCATTGCGATTTTTTCATAAAGACCACATTATCCATGGGAAAAACATAAAATCTGGCTCCTTTGGAAGTCTCCAGAATAAATAGTCCATATTGGTAAGTATTGATGTCGTAGGAAATTTTCAAGGATGAGATGGGATTTTTGAGAGGACACACGCTTGAATCGCCACTGGACACTCAAAAAGAATATGGTTTGTCAATTCTTCAACACCACATATAGGACACTGCGTATTGCATTTTATACCTTGGCGCCGAAGGTTCTTTGTGACTGGTAAAGAACCAGATAACACTTGCCAAACAAAATGTTTCAGCTTTGGTGAACACTGGAGTTTCCATGAAAAATGCAAGACGACGATTCGTGTAAGGACCAAAATAATGTTGTGGTCCCAAATCAGGAAACAGCTTATCCACTCGATAACCGATTTTTAACTGTGTACCGTCTATGATTTGTAAAATACCATCCATATGAGTCCGGTATTGAAAGGCGGCTTATCCCTATACCCTGAATAATTTTTACATCATCTGGGTGAATATAAGCTTTCAGCAAATCTATATTCCAAGACAGGTTCACTGGATTAATTAAATCATGTACCTTAAGGAATGGATTTAAGAATTGGTTTGAAATTTTGCGGTTGCTGATCTCGGGTGAGGAGCAGGAATCCATGGATCATTATTCCAGACGGAAATAGTCGATCCAGTCCCTATTCTTTTGATTAGCCCTTTATAAACCAAAGATCGAGCCGAAGTAATACTTGTCCACCCATACGATGGAGAATATGATCTTATTGGATCCAGCGTATCTGATTTCCTATAATACCTGCCTTTGAAACTCTTGCAAATAGAGATTTTGGTTTCTTTACTAATCTCCATAGCTGTTTAGCTAAGAAAGCCATATTAAAATTATGAAAATCTTTAAAGCCAATCTGCCGTTCATCTTTTCCGAGACACATCTTATCCCACGAAAACTAATACATACCTTTATTGTTTCCACTACCACTCCACCAAAAATGTGCAACGCTATTCGTAAATTTTTCTGTTATCCTTTTAGTAAGACGATAGCATGACATAACATAATTGGACATTGATGAGACCACTGATTTGATCAAAACTTCTTTTTCTCTTTTTGTAATAAACTTGACGGATCAATTATTAACCTTATTATTATTGATCTTTTCATTTATGTGACATATATTAATTATTAGTAGAAAAATAGATTAGATGAGAACCTATATATTAACTATCAAAAGAAAAATAGATTGATGTGACATATTTATTATCAGTACAAAAAATAGATTAAATGAGGACCTGTTAAATCTCTTAAATATGAAGACATGATTAATTTTTTTTTTCATCAACCTAACCGACTGTATAACATATGATTAGTTTATTTTCTTGATTTGTTGATTACAAAACAAAAAATCATTCCTTAGAATTCAAAACTAACCACTGTTTATAAATGATTCGCCAAAATCTTCTTTGAGTTGTTTTACAATGGATATAGTGATATCACTCAAATGTTTAACCCTACGGAGTGATTTACTCTCTCAAATAAGAGGTTCAATCGTAGTACTTAGGGATCAAATCGACAAGGAACTAGAGTCACAAAAGATATAATCCTAAGTGATTAAGCTAGGTTGAAAAGGTTTTAAAACAATAAATAAAAACAGGTAGCAATGGTAAGTTGCTAAAGAAAATAGGTTTTGGGTTTGAAAACAATGAAATAAAGTAGTTAGATTCAAGGTTACTATTCAGAAAATCAGGATTATAAATCTATGGATGTCTTAACTAATTGCTTGCAAATATATGAGAACTTCAACCCTTAGACAAATCTATAGCTGTCGCTATTAGACTCGTCCATTGATCTGATTTCCGACAGTATCGATCGATGTTGCTATCGCAGTGTCGATCGATATATGTTGCCGTCGATCGATGACTCTAGAGGAGTATCGATCGATATAAAGTATCAGATCGGATTGAAACTGTGTTCACCCGAGAATTTCTATCAGACCGGCTGTCGCATCGAGCCTTAATAGAGTCTGGGTTTAGCCAAATGATTTCAGGAAAATGACTATTAGATTAGTCACTCCATAATCATAACTCTAGGTAGCAAATCTAGNGCCGTCGATCGATGACTCTAGAGGAGTATCGATCGATATAAAGTATCAGATCGGATTGAAACTGTGTTCACCCGAGAATTTCTATCAGACCGGCTGTCGCATCGAGCCTTAATAGAGTCTGGGTTTAGCCAAATGATTTCAGGAAAATGACTATTAGATTAGTCACTCCATAATCATAACTCTAGGTAGCAAATCTAGACTAAGCATTAGGGTTCATTTGGATAATGAATATAGCAACTCAACAATCCATAGTTGGGGCTAATCCCTCATAACTATTTGAACCCCAAATCTAACAGATGAATCTACACAGACATAGCCAAGAAATTCATAGCAAAAGAATAAGATGAAAAGAAAATACTTTTATTGCTTAGGTAAAAATAGAATACAAAACTTTCTTAATAGATCTAATGGTGTCTTTCTAGGGCTCATAGGCATAACTATAAATATGAAGTACAATTAGGTTAAAAACTCGTCAGGGGCAGTCTTGTAATTTGGTGAGAACTTGGGCTTCAAGTCGGCCAAGTAAATCTTGCTCATCACGCTCTGTATCAATCGATGGTACATTGTGTACATCGATCGATGGAGTATCTCGACTTCAACTTCTACGGGATCGTCATCAATCAATTACACAAGGTGTGTATCGATCGATATATGTCTCTCAATCGTCTTCATAGTCAACTTGTAAAACTCTTCTTTAAGCTCCATAAGGCACCTAAATCATCACTTTACGACAAAATGATCCCGAACCTGAAAATATACCTAATAGACTCCAAAACATAGATAATTATAATAAAAACACATAGAAATCATGACTAAAAACAGGTCAAAGTCATGGTATATCATATAGTCATCTTTAGAAATAAGCATTTTGTAGTAGATACATATTAAGCACAATATTCTTCTATGCCAAAAAATAAACTAAGAATAAGTCATTACACAAGTAAGTTCTTATTCGTTAGGCAACTTACAATCTGTGAACTTTTTTCTGACACAAAATATTTACACTTTCTTTACAAGACTTCACTCGCTCTCTGCCTTTGAACATATGTTCAATATTCACAAACTTGTCTAATCACCATCTTCATAGATACATGTTAAAACACACATATTGTCTTATAATAGTACATAACTTTGACTTAATTTATCTAAACAAAATGTCGTATTCGATCAACTTTCGATTTAGTTGTGGGAATCAAAATTTAAACTGTCGATTTTCGTATATTTAGGAACGTCAAATTAACCTAACTTTGCCAGAGGTCCCGGATATTTGCTAACCACACGCCAAGCAATCAAAGATACAAAATAACAGGTAAAAAATATATATGAATCGGAAAGGAGAGCAAAGAGATTTCTTATTCCGAATTTGTGTAAGAGTGGTACAACGAGAATAAGCCTTGGCGAAAAGATCTGACGGCGAGTTTCCCTAGTTTTAGCAACCTAAGACTAAACTCTAACTGAGACACAGTTCGATAACAAAAGCGAAAAGTTGCCTATTTGTCCTAAATGCTAAGTTTTTCGGTGTGATGAAAGCTCTGAGTTCATGTCCCCTTCTTGGCTTCGACCTTGTGCTTATATACTCCTCCTCTAGGCGGTTTAGTCTTTCTTTTTCCGCCTTGATTCATGTCTATCGGAAATCTTCCATTTATCTCGATCTCCATATTTATCCTTGGAAAACTTCTATTTATCTCCAAATTTCACATTTAACTTTTTCCTGCAAGAAAATTTGTCTTCTATTTATCTCCAAACCGTCATCATATCTTTGGGTTAGACTTCGTCTAAGGTCGTAAGTGGGCCTTTATCGCGTTTTAGGACATTTCAGATCGTTTTGCGCCTTAGCCGTCTTATGATGTTAGACGGGATCGTTCCATGATACGATGCCATTTTTATAAAACATCTTGAGTCAATCGTATAGTTTGGTAATCGTACAATTAGGTTAAAAACTCGTCAGGGGCAGTCTTGTAATTTGGTGAGAACTTGGGCTTCAAGTCGGCCAAGTAAATCTTGCTCATCACGCTCTGTATCGATCGATG